GGTTTCTAGCCCTTGCTGCTCATCCTCACTGCCCCTTAAGGTACATGAGGTACATTATTATGTACCCTTAGCAGGAGGGCTGGCTGCGTCGGGAGGTTGCTGGCTGGCGGGCACGGCACGCCGCCCAGTGCTGCGGGCACAGCGGGGCAGGCAGCCCCCGTGCCCCACCGCAATCCCCACTGCTCAGGCCCAGGGCAGCACTTGCAGGGGTTTCAGGGAGCCAGGGCTGAGTGTGCCGTGGGGTTGTTACGGCTATCCGCGCCATCACCGTGCCCCAGGCACTCGTGCGCAGCACTGCAAGCAGAAAAGAAAAGAGACGATTTTTTTTCCTTCAAAGAGCTGCCAGTCTCAGCAGCTTAAACAATACTTTGAGCCAGGAGATGAAGAAAAGCCCGAACAGCGAAATAACAAAAAAGCCTGATTAACTGAAACGAGTTGTCCAGGAGAACAACCTCACCACAGGTCCAAGCCAAAGCCCCTGAGCAAACCCCCCCCATGCCCCTTCGGCGGCTTCACACTCGCCCTGAGCATCCTTCACCTGCCGGGGCTGGGAGCGGGAGCTGCCCGCGCCGCCCCGCAGCTCGCCGGCCATACGGACCGTCTCACGGGCGCCCTCCACCCTGCTGTTTACATATCTTAAACCTCTGAAGAAAGTGGAATTCCATTCATGAGCATTTATCACTACGGAGATACTCATCAGGACTTGCTCAATATTTCCCCATATGCCCTGAACTAATCTGAAAGAAATACAAGTATTATGTTATCCTTTCCAATGGAGAGGTTATTTTTGTGCGTCATCTACAGTTGCTGTTAGCCAACCAATCCGTTAGCACTTGCGATCATATAACCTGGTTCACGACGAAGGAATCATTCCCATTTTTCACCTGGAAAACACAGCCAGGTGCTTCTCAGGCAGAATACACTGGGAACGGATAAGGGATGTGCCACCCTTGTGCAGTTTGCTGACACTTAAGAAAATACCTTTGTCTCTGCGGACAGACTATATGCAACTGCCTATTATTCATTTGGCATTAGAAAGCAAAGCATCAGCTCTGCCAGAATCACTAACGCTGTCACTCACCAGCCCCATGTAAATCAGAGGCTCTATCAGGCTGATTATCTCCACGTGTAAAGATTTGAAAATACGTAAATTAAGATTTTACTCTAAGCATAGGTGGCTTACAATGCTTTCTTTAGGATCAGATAGACTTCGCCGTAGCTAAACATTACAGCGGCTGCTGATTTCTTAATCCATTCTCAACATGAGCATTCCTCAGTTGTTAAGCCTGGTGTGAAAGAAGCCTTTCATGGTCGAAAAATCCCCCAAGAGGAAAATATACAGCCCACATTTTCAGACCGTGGTGCGTGAGCTGGGCACGGGCTTACCTGCCGCAAAACCTGCTCAACCGGAGGGGTTTGCAGGCAGATTACGGAGCTCTGCACTTAATTTCTTCTTATTTAAAATCTGCACATTTTTATGTGTCTGCATTGAAAAATGCCTCCCATGCCTCCGACTGTAACTAATAATTTACCACAATAGATAAGTGGCCAGTGGAAGAAGCAGGAGCATGGTTTTTGAGACCGAAGAGGAACGGTTCGTGACTGGTTTTTATGGGCTTGGTGTCAGAAAGCGAGGCTTTCCAGCGCCGCCTGCAAGGCATCCCCTCCCGCCAGCACAGTAAATAATCTTCAGTCTAATTCCGTGGATTGCAGCAACGGCTTCAGCTCCACGGCTTATTAATTAAGCTGTTTAACTTACTTATTTTAAGCCTCAAATGTACCTACACTTCTCTCTATGAACTCTGTGGGGCTGCTTGTCCCTGACATTAAGCAGCTATTACAGCGCACAGAGTGAGGGCATGGATTCGTTTATCAACGAATTCATTGAAATAATGTGAAATTTCTGCCCGGCTATTTTTCAGGTAAGATCCCAGGTGCCCAGGAGCCACGCTCAGAGGAGCTGCGCCCCACGTCGTCATGTGTTTGCCCTTCAAACCTGCATCCCCCCTGCGCCACGCAGGGTAGCTGCGGACGGGGACGGAGCCCAGCAGCCTGTCGTGCTCCCGCTGCGTCTGTGCCCATAAAATGCACCACGTCCTTCCCGCCAGACCCCCATAACACCACGCACACCCCAGCCTGACCCCCAGGATCAGCTCCCCATGCTCGATGTTAACCGGTAGGCGAACAGGCAGAGGAGCTGGAAGAGCTCCTTTCTTTTTTTCTCCCAAATAAATGTCTACCAAAAAAAATGGCTAATCCAGAAAACGAATATTTACCGCAAAGATATTTTGCCGTGCGCCTCTCCCCTGCCTCCTCGCCCCTCCTGCCCCCAAGCAGCAAGCGGTTTCTGCCTGAGCCCCGTGCATCAGAGCACGGCAGGGGCTGGAGGAGATCGCTCGCACGCGGCAAAAAAAGCTGCGGGCAGGGATGGGCTCTGTGGGATTTTGGGATGCCGGGAGGAGCTGGAGCCCAGGACGGTGGGAGCCAGGTAGGAAGCCCGGTGCCACGACACCTGCCACGGTGCCCGCAGCAGCCGAGGGTGCCAGGGAGGGGGAGCCGGGCGCAGCTCTGGCTGGGCAGCTGCCCGCACACCAAAAAAAGCACCAGCGGCAGCCTGCAGAAATCATCGCTCTGCGTGGTTTTGAGGTTTGGAGAAAATCAAAGACAAAAGGAAATGGCAGGCAGGCTTCGCTGGAGCATGAGAAGGCAAACAAACCCTGTGGGTTTTCTGACCTGTTTTTCTTAGGGAGCTTTAAGAGAGCATTTGCAATCGCTGGGAACAAATTCCTAGAAATGAGACGCTGTTGTTATTCATCATGTGATGCCTTCACAGGCAGGGCTGGGAGGACTGTGCCGTGCCGGGCAGATGCCTCGCAGGCACTGCCTGTCCCAGGGACATCAGCCACCCATGAAACAGCGGAACGGTTTTCAGGATGAGCTGCTAGGAAAGCTCACACCTGCCTGGTACAGAGTCCAGGTCTCCTCCACGTGCGCAGCAAAAAGTGGAGTGCCACTTCTCTAAAGCAGATGATTAATTTAGAAGCCTAACGAGGAACTGCCCGAGAAGGGGCTAAATCCCATTTAGCCAGGCAGGTTGTCAGTGCCTGAACCGCACGGCGACCTGGGCACTTAGAACAGGTTATTCCGGGCATTTTCCCAGCAGCGTGAGACAGAGCGTGCTGGGGCTGCGTGCGAGGCAGGACAGCTCGCGTGGCACGAGGGGACCGAGCAGGGCTCGTTTGGAGCACGGTCACTGCATCGTGCTGCAGGTATCACCCCAAAACGCAAACCGGGGTCCGCTCTGTGTCACTAGGGAAGCTTTGTGGGAGGACAAACAGGGTGTTTATTAAGGGGGGGGGGGGGGAATCTTCCCTGTTAAAATGCAGTGTTAAAATCGCAGTTAAAAATGACAAAGTCAGGAAAAGCAAACGTTTAAAGTTGCAAAACCAACACTACACATCCTGTTTGTTTTACGGCCACATCGAACATCCTGTATGTTTTATGGTTTACATTTTACAACGTAAACAGTCATATATTAAGCTACACAGTTAACCAAGAGAAAAACACGGGAGTAAAAAAATGCCACGTGCAAAGCAAGCAGGTCAGTACGGCTGCTGACACCAAAACGTCGGCATTTGTGGGCTTTATGTAATTTTTACTGTGCAACCCTGAACGCAGTTGTTTTCATTTCATTTCCGTGGTACTTTCCCCCTTAAAGAAGAGTGAAGGGGCGAGATCGCCTGTGATTAATAACGTCAGCATTAAATGGTCCTGATTAGTCTTTGAAGTTCACACATGTTTCATTGGGGTCAGCAGGTTGGGGAAGAGGGTCAGTTCCCGGCGCTGCTGATGGCTTCGCGCAGGGCTGGGTTATCACCGTGTCACCCTGCCAGAGCCCGGCTCTGCCGCGGCACCGCGGCAGCGACGCGCGAGATCGGCACGCTTGCTTTTTGAAGTTCGAAATTTGCAGAAAATTACGAATGCAGCAAAAATTCTGAATTTTTCACAGCTTTTTAAGCCAGTAGGGTCACCCTGCCTCTAGAGTCAACCCCATAAAGCTCCGTCTCGTTTAGCTGTGTCAGAATCGCACTTTCTGTACGGCTTTTAGGTGGCATCGGGACAATTGACTCCACATGAAAACCTGCTCTTTAGAGGCTTGATCATTTTGAGCAAGACAGATACACCCCTCCTCCCTCTGCACCCTTCTGCAGGACCTTTTCACAGCCTCCCTCACCCCCCAAACTGCTGCTGCTTAAAAGACGGGCAGGTTAAAAACCACATTTGACGATACAAAGTAGATTCTTTTACCTATGGTACTAGGAGGAGCTGACGGCACTAAACCTAAAAGGATTTTAAACTCTATCTTCCCTTCCTCCAGCCAGCAAGGTTTGTTTATTTCTACGTGACTTTCAGCTCGGACAGTGCAAACCAGACAGGTCCATATTTTTATATGCATTATCCAAGCACTTGTTTGGCCGGCAGGCTGGAAGGCCCCTTGTGCTCAGTTATTAAATGCACTGTGGTAGATAATTCTGTACTTCCCACTTCTGCATTCGCAATACACATGAATTAAGATTTTCCAAATAAAATGCTTCATCTTTTATACGGCTGCCAAAGCCAGCTTGGAAAATAGTGAGTTTATGCAACTTGTCTCTGTGAGCTGTATGTACTGCGCGCAGCAACAGCCGGGCTGAAAATCCCACAGCGCTGCCTGGAAAGTTCCTGGGCAGAAAATAAAAGGTCGGTGGCATCCGGCAGACAATGACTGAGCAAGTCAGAGGCTGCATTTCCAAGAGCAGGGAAGCACGCAGGCAGCAGCTGCAGCCCCCCTCCCTCAAGTATTAAACTCTCCCCCACCCAACTGCAGTGGCAGCACAAAATAAATATTGTTCCTCGTTATTAAATTAACTGCGACATCCCAACCAGCATCCCAGTCCAGACACAAATTCGGCGTCGCGGGCCCACCTCTGACCAAAACCCTTGCAGAACATCTCTCTTACATGTCCAAAGGGATCCAGGTGGTTGTTGGTGAGTTTTAGCTTCTGAAAGGACACCAGCTGCCGCATCCAGTGTGCTCCCGTGGCGGGTGAGTCGGGGTGCACGTACAGCCGGCCCGGCATGGCCGGCTCTGCCTTCCCGGCCACCATCCTGCAAACACAGCGGTTACAGATTGCATCACCTCGGCAGCGGTCGCCAGCCCAGGCGTAGGAGAGCGTTTTGTCCTTGAACTCAACCCAGCAACCCTCCCGCCAGCCCTGGAGGGACATGCTGGGGCACAGGGGCTCGAAGAGGTTCCTGCTGCTCGTAGGGTTTCAGGGTTCCTCGTTTCAGCATCGCAGGCTGGCAGAGTAACCTCGTCTCTGCTCCCGTGCGGCATTTCCTTGGGGCAGTGTCGCTACATGGCAGTTGTATTGGCATTGCTCAAGGAGGAAATCTCGTCTGGGTTTTTGGAGAGGGCAAAGCCTTCAAAGGCCATTCTGCAAGGGGAGATGGTCTCACACACTTCCCCAGGAGAAGGTACCTGCGAGCAGAAGTGGGTACCGGCATGGGTGCACCCTCCGCAGCCATGCAGGGCTCCTGCAGCCCCCAGCCGGGTGCAGCTCCGGCGGGAAGGGGCTGCTCCCCGCTCCAGAGCTGCGTGCTGGCACACGGTGCTGCCCCTCGTACCCTTCTGCCGGCTCCCATTGCCCCCACGCCAACACCACCACCAACTCCCACGGACACAAGACCCAGCCATGAGACATCACTTAACGGCAACTCCCCCATTACTGTGCATTGTTCTCCACTTATAAAACACCAATAAAAGCAATATTACCAAAAACAACAGAGACTTTCCAGCAGCAATAAAATGAAAAGGGGAAACAGCTCTAGGGCTGGCAAAAGCTAAATTAAACAGAGTTAACAACTATCCATCATCTAGGGCTTAATGGTTAAAACACAAAGTGGCCGCCACGCCGCGGAGGCCCTCAGTCCGCTCCTCTTACCCAGCGGCACTCCAGTACAAAAGCGAACGGAAAAGGGATTTTTTAAAACTAGAGCAGCCCTAATGTGCAAGTAAATTATTACAGTTTTATAGGATGTCACCAGGCTCACTCCCATTAAGATGACTACGAAGTTTTCCATTGCTCGTCTTCTCACCAGGCAGCAGTCAGTGGAAGGGTTTGGGAAAAGCACAGCGAACAGTCGCAGTGAGGGAGGCTGCTGGGTGTATTTGCGGTAAAAATCAAAAGAGAAAACAACATGCTTCCTTCGTCAGAAAGCAAAAATCATAGCTGCCTCTTGGGTAAGTAACTTGCTTATCAAAGGCACAGGGAAGGGAAGAATAACAGAAGAGAAAGAGAAATTCATTTCTCCAGAGGAAGAATGAATTAAAAGAAAAAACCTCTAAACTGGATCTGGTCCAGGACTGCCATAGGGGGAATCGCTGCTCCCTTCGTCTGCCGGATCAGCGTGGCTGAACCAGGGCTCTGAGTAAACCACCCCACGTTTTGCTTTATAGCCCATCGCCTAAAAGCAAAGTATTACTATAGCAGAAAGGAATTTAAAACTTTCCTCGACTCATGTAGATATCTAATTTTTAAGGCCAAAATGGAGCATTAGATCATCTAGTCCAGCCTCTGGTATGATGCAGGCTGTGGCTTTACCTTCTTACACCTGCACATGGCCAGATAACCTACGCTTGGCCTAAAGCATCTCCTCTGAAAAGACATCCAATCTTGAGCCCTTTGGAAACAAACAATCCACCACCTCCATTAGCAATTTGTTCCAGCAGTTAATCGCCCAGCCTGTTACCAATATTTTATTTTATATTTGTCTGGTTTTAACTTCCAGCCACTGGATCTTGTATCTATCGCTGCTCCACCAAAGAGAGCTCTGGGATGTTGGCATCCCTCCCATGGGAAGGTATTTATGTTGGTTTCTGAGTTTGCACAGCAAATGGTTGATCCAATTGCTATTTTCTTAAGGAAAAGAAGGCAAACAGAAATGTTCTCTTACCATTTATTGTCACAGAATTTATACCGGTGGTCATCAGCCGGGACGATGTCGATCAACAAGATGTACTTGGTCTTGGGGTTCATTCCGGTCACTTTAACCTTGTAACTAGGAAACATCCTCCTTAGGAAAAGCAAAGGGTTAACACGTTAATGAGCGACCTGGAGCGGCGCTGGAACTGATGGAAACTTGGAGCAGCACCCCAAAAGGCAGATCCACCATGTGATGAATTCACACTAGGGCAAATGAGCTAGAAAACGTTACTGCTGCTTATACATCACCTGAATTCAACTCACTCTTTGCAGAGCACGGGCTGCACAGGGCTAGTGCAAAATGGGGCCCAAATACGGGTGAGGGTATATAGAGGGGGGTTATGGGCCAGTGCCAGGAAAAGGTGGGTGTAGAGAGAGATATGGGGGGGGGTCAACACATCCCTCCTTACGGGAGGCTCGGACAGGGAGCCCTCACTGCCCCAGGAGCCTCCACGTGGCTTATGGCAGCCTCAAAAATGCAGATTTCTTGTTGCCACGGAAGTGCACGAAAAGTCATGAGGTCTGACTACACTTCAGAAGAAACTAAGCACACACGGCTTTCTCACTCACACGTTCCCAACGTCCACAACACCAAGTCCCACCACTACTCCTACGCAGTACCTGAACCTGTGTTCCCTTCAACAGACTGAAAACTGAGGATCAGCAAAGCCTCGGGGGAGACTAAGGGTTAAATCCTGCGGTGGTGCGGACAGTCACCGCTCCTCTGGCCTTCCCGAATTTCCCAAATTCACAGCAGACCCGTTAAACCTTGTTCGAGCCAGGAGCACCGCAGAGCTCCCCACTGAAAATGTGCCCGTCCCACTAATTTACCATTGATTCTAGCAGACACGTAGCAACCAACACCAAACGGGGAACGTCACATAAACCAATGTATCATTAAAGAATGTTTATATATATCTTACATATCTAAACGATCTTTGCAGTATTAAAGACTTTTTTTTTATAAAGCTGTGGCCGTGAAAGCAGTATGTACCATCACCATCTGATCTTGCGACCCAAGGAGATGGCCCTGATGGATACAAGGCACTGCCATGGGCTTCCCGAGCCCTCGAGACTGCATCAGGAGCCGGGATTTGCAGGATCAGTCACTTTACATCCTCAGAGTAGCTATTTTCTTGGCTCCATCTTCCCAATCTCCGCATCCAGTAAAAAAACAAGTCAATTGAGCAAACTGGCTCACCACAGCCTTCAAGCAACTAGCCAGAACAGTAAATTCTCCTTTCCACCAGCGTAAGGGGACCGAGAATGAGAATTGCCACATCCTGGAGTCATTCTAACTACCCTAATTAAGAAGGGCCAAATCCTGATGTCGTTTCTCCATCGGACGTCGAGGCCACTTTGCCCCCCCACCCTTTATCCCTCCTTCCCCTGCCCGTTGCCCCCGTGCCCAGCCGAGCTGCCCCAGGTCTGCAGCACCATTTTGTCGCTGCTTGGGGAGAAGGCAACAAAATGGGCCCTGTTCGAAATCATTTCAATTGACTCTTTTAACTGCCCTGCATAAATTCCAGATGTTTACCATGTAATTAGCCGGGGCTAAAAAGGGGTGGTTTACCAATGTCCGTATTTGATTTTCATTCGTAAACTCTGCACTCCTCTTAACCTTGTCCTCCTACAGGTAAGCACCTGGATAAATACAGTAGGACATTTCAATTTGTGAATACACAGCCCAATTCACACATTGAAAAAAATTGCATGTGGAATCCAATCTGAATGCCAAGATTTTTTTTTAATTTAGGCCTCAAAATGACATTTAAAAATGAAACAAAAAAGAGGAGGAATTGATTAAAAACCAGAAATGAGATGGATACTATTTGACAGTTACTGTGTCATACCGGGCGAACGTCCTGCATCGGGGATTTTTATAACATCTAGCTTCTGAATTTCTTTTTTTCTCAATCATTTCATTTACTGTAGTACATCCAAGCTGCTAAAGTAGCCGGACTGATATACTGTAAATGTTAAGTGGTTTTTTAATGGCATTTAAAATTAAGCTTCAGCATATGGAGTTCATATAGCATGGACATGCCTGAGTTTATAATGTTCTTTAGTATAGCCCTCTAAAATAAATACAAAGAGCCAAAGTACTACTATAATATATACAGCTGAAATTCTTTAAGGATAACAAATGGGGACTCACATCTGATTGAAGGTGTTGCTTAACTTGCAACCCGCTCGCTATCTTGCAGTGGTAGCATTGTACTCGGCAGTCGACAGACCCAGCTACAATCAAGTTTGCCAACTCTCCGCATTCTTTTCCAGGAAAACACGGGGTAGATTTTAGTAATTTGGCTGTGCACGGACATTTCATCATTATTATTAGCTGCTGCATTTTGGCTTTAAAAAAAAAAAAATGCGACTAATGTGCTGTCCAGGGACTTATCAGATTAATTTTCTTAATGAAAACATATTTCTCAACCCCTTGGCAGAGACTCATTTAGTAAATATCTCTTTGCAATACGATACAAACATGGGTTGTGTGTTTCTGGTGGGAAGGCATGACAAACCGAAGAGCCGGCTCCAAGAAAATGCAGTCATAGCATTTCAATTTAAAAAAAAAAAAAAAAGCAAGAGAGAGCACCTAATATCATGTCCTGGCCCTTATTAAATGTTCCACTTGAAAAAGGGGAGCAGAAAACCACGGCAGAGGCACGGGGCTGCACCAGCCCTGCCCGGGAGCGGGGCCATGCCTACAGTGGGTCTATACAGCTCCCCGTCAGCCTTGGGAAGGGGCCAAAAACCTGCCTGCTTCCCCAGATTTACTCCAGGTCAATGGAGCTACTCACAGCCATAGGCTCTACACTCAGTAGTAGCTTTGCATAACCGCCCCCTCTGCCAAATCTCTGCAGGCAGGAGCTCTCAGGCGGATGGGCGTCTCCGCAGAGGATGCTTCTCTTCAGCCAGCTTTCCCTGACAATAGCTTGCTTCATCATCTAGTGCTTGGGGACCAGCAGTGGCAGAAGAATAACCCAGTGCTGCAATAAAAACTTGCCAATGTCTTGCCAAGCTCTGGGAAAGCTCAGCCTGGCTTTGGTCGGAGGTCTGAAACAAGATCCAGGCAGACCCGCGTTTTACACACCCTCCTTCCCCCCGCCGCACACGACTCCAAACCGGGTGAGAGCTTCGCTGCGCAGAAACCGGTTACAAAAATTGTGAATTTGGGGCTTCCTGGGGACCATGTCCAAGCAGGCGGCATCTGACCCTCAGCAACACCTCCGGCGGCTGCAGCCCTGCTGCGGCTGTGCAAACGGGGAAGCTCAGCGAGGTTAAGAGCTGGGCACGTGTGCAGCGCAGGATAAACCAACTATTAGGCAAAGTTTAAGCCACCAGTAATCAGGAGATTAAGAGCAGCAATTCCTGGCATCATCCTCTTTTGTTCAGACCCAAAGCTTGGTCGGACAAGGTGTCCCGGGGCTGCAATGAATGCCCTGAACATGCAAACGCTGCCGCCATCCCTGGGGTGGGAGAGTCCAAGACCGGACCAATTTCTTCCCCTTCATGCTCATTTTTTTGAAAGCCACACAAGGTGCGTGTCTAACCCACCAGCACACACGAGTTGCGGTGGCTGCTCCCAGCCAACACAGGGCAGACAGCGGGGCTGCTCGGTGAATGGGAGCCACGGAGCCACCACCAGCCCCACAGCTCCCCTGCCGGAGCCACCACCACCCCCCCAGCTCCCCTGCCCGCCCAGGGACCGGCCACGAGCCCATGGCGTGCCTGTGCGACAGCCGGCAGTGCACGGGGGATGCAGCCAAGCATCAGCCCCGACAGCCTGTTCTTCTGCAAAACATCGAGTCAGTAGACCCCCAGTTTTGGACACGTGCAAAACCCACTTCTCCCTCCCTCCAGCTCAAGCCAGTGAAGAAAGGACCATCCAGACTCCTCAGCACCGTCCTGATGGTCTCCTACGCCCCTCAAAGCTCTCTGCTGCGTTTAGTGGCTCTGACATACACGTTTCTACCTCCCTCCCCGCACTAGCAGGGGCACGGTGCTGCTGTGCGATGGCAGCAGCTCTCGCTGCCATTCAGAGGGGAAAAGTTAAATCAGTTTTTACGTTCACACGAGAAAGCTGCCCTCAGAGAAAGCGATCACAGGAGAAAGGCTACGGTGCCTCACTCCTGTGCAAGCGGGACATCTGATACGGCATTAAAATACCACGGTCTGGCACCTGGTCGCTGGGGGCTGAGGTGCAGGGTGACACCCTGGGAGGGGCAGAGGGGCTGAGCCTGGCACAGGGGACCACGGGCGGTGGGAGCGGGGCTGGCGTCGCCGGGGCTTGGCACTGCACTGCCACAGCCCCGGCTAAACCCTTCCCCGCAGCTCTGTGCAGATGAAATGTAGCAAAAACAGTAAAAGCCAGGAAAATAAACAAGCAGCACAATTCTGTAGCCCTCCCAAGCTTCAAAGATGATGTGCGAGTGAATTATTTGCTCTGATAATGAAGCAGTCATTGCTTAGCTAAGTTTATGCTAGGCACATTTTATCTCTACATGATATTCACAAATTGTTTTAAAATGAACTGTTAGAATAAGCATCTCTTGTTTATTTATTTATTCTATTACTATCCAATCCCCTTAACCATGGAGCAGTTACTGACATGGAGCCAAAGCTTCTATTATGTTCAAACAAAGTTTAATTAATGTGTAATTGGTTGGTTGGATTTGGGAGCGAGCGATAAGAGGAAAGCTTTGGTTTCGTTTGGGGCAGCAGTTCCCAGCCTTTTGGGCTCCCCAGGCTTGGCCACTTCGTGGGCATCTTACTTGTGTTTTAATCCCTATACAAAGCAGGCCTGGTTGGTCCTGGAGAGATGGGTGACTGCCAGGCTCCCAGGTCCAATAAAGTCTTATTTTGGGGTAAGGGACAGCAACCCAGCGCAGCCAGAAAAGCCAAAAGCATCAGAGCTGATCAAAGAGCTCAAAGCACTCATCTGAGCACTGACTGCCCCGCGCCACGCTGCACGCCAGGACCTGTGTGTCCCAGGGACACTGGCTCATGCCGCGGTACTGCTGGGTGATGAGGTGGCCTCCACAAATGCCTCAGTCCTCACCACCCTACTGCTCACAAGGATTTCAT